ATATGACCACTGTCTGGAAATTCCCCACGAATATCCACCCTATGCTGTGTTCCAATGAATTTCGCAATCACGCTCACCGTGTCTCAGGGATGTGAAATGTACTAGTGGTGTAGAATTTAGTTCTCCTCTAGAGCAAGACTTCTGACAGACGACCACTCTGAACAACTTACCGCGTCAACTCAAACAGAGTGTAGAATATCGCTGAAAAAGCCCCATCGAGATTCATTCTTGGTCCCTGGAAAGAGTGTTCTATCTGGCTTTGGGAAAAATTTTTAAGTCGCTTTGTTTTCCCCTCCTCGGAACTACGTCACTCCTATTCACTGACTTAGGTAGTTTATCTTGCTTCCCCTGTCACGCCTCAATGCTAGTTTTCAGGGAAAACTGGTAACATCTTGGAGAATTGGCATGGAATTGAAAGGGTTTGGTGAGGTCGAAGTAGTGGGAAGGCTCTGAGAGGTGATAGTACTGGAAGAAGAAATTGGGGGAGGGTGGGGTAGGCTCTATGACACCCATCCACATCATGGTCTATTAACTGTCGTCACAGCATCATGATAGCCTGAAAATGTTATGCTTTGTAGGGTCTTTATGCATACAGTAACTCACATCGTACCATCGTCGAAGGACGGAAAGTTACGCTGCGAATCACGATACAACGTAGAGCTCCTAGCATCAATTAAAAATTGCCTTGGGCCGACAACTGCTAACTCCTGCAACAATCCGAGGTGACCGCGACGCTCGGCTCCAGAAACCCTACTACCACAGCTATAGTGAAACATTCCGGTTCTCGAATGATGAAGGTTATACGACATTCTGGGTCGTGCGACTATATATACAGGGGGGGGGGGGCAAAAAAAGTCACTTCGACCGAGTCACATATCAGCAAAGTTTTCGCAGCCCAGAGAGAAGACGTGGATACGAGTACCAGGGCGGAAGATACCCAAGATGTTCCTCGATAAGCAGGAGCTGGCCCTCGCCCATCACCTTCATGTTCACGTCAAATATGAGGTCAATCTCGCATCCGCAAGCCTGCTAACTGAAGTAGACTTCTTTGGAAAATTTTTTTTTTTTTTCTTGTTTTTCATGTCACTCCAACACAGGGCTGCAAAACTTCTTAGTATGGAGTCACCCATTCGGGTACCGGTACGCGTGGGACTCAGTACTGCTCATATCTGGAAGCAGCCTCCCACACTCGACGCAGCTCCGACACTTTGCGACGGGTCCGCTACCGACAGCTCCATCGTTCACGGGCAGTCGCCAAGGCGCGGTGTTCAGATTCGGGTATGGACCTGGACGCACCTGGAATGGAGAGGAACAGATAGTGTTTCTCGTCGTGACCTCCGGGTGAAGGTTGAGCCGGCTGACCGGGTTCCATCGAGGCAACTCAAGAAGAATTATCTTCGCCGCGCATCATGTCGATCGGCCCGTACCTTCCTGGATGACTTTTCTGCTGCTACAGGCATTGGGTACCTACCACGCTGGACCATACGAAGGGGTTCGGGCGGCTAGTTCAATAGGGTCGGTCTACGGTAGGCGGAGAAGATCGACTATCTCGCTCCCATGGCTCAGGGCCATTGCGGTTGCGTGCCAGAATCTCTCGATGGCGCTCCTCCAGAAGGCTGTGGCGGAGTGTCGTAATAGTATTTAATATGCTCTTTAATATGGTGGTAGACGAGCGTCCAGATTTAGAATTTATAAAGGAGCTTATACCGAGCCGCCTTGAAAAAGCCAAGTGAAGGCAAAGTTGACTTTTTGTTTTGTGCGCTCCGCTCGTGATGGTCCCTTAAATGCATTTCATAACTTAAGATATAAAAAGATCAATGTCTGTGTGACTGATATCGACAGTTGAAAGCGGATAGTCGCCTATGACCTTAGTTCTTGTTCATTCTCGGAACGATCTTCGACCAAACGACTCCACACATCACCTGCTCAGACGGCTCTTTCCCCTTTTTTGCTTTTCATTCAAACCAGAAATCATAGCTTAACTGTCGTGCTCAATGCCTTTCGGGGCCTGGAGCCCTTGAAAATATCCCAGAAATTTCGACTGAAGACGATTTTATCCAGTCGCTCCAGAACTTCTTACATGTGCAAGATTGCTCTTACAACCAATTTATTGCATTACACCACTCACATACAGAACGAATAAGTAGAATATGGTAGCTATACACTCTATATTAGCGCTTTGCAGTCATTGTGAAGCAGTATGAGTGGAGATCGTTTCGTTGTACGAGTTGATGAGTCTATCTGCACTAGTAAGTTCAACTCGTGAAGTAACTGCATGCAACTTTCCAAAGCAGTCGTTTCTTTATGAGCAACATATATAGTACAAGAAATCGACGAGGATATCTCACAATGATATCGAACCCGCTCCTCGAATGATGATCTCTAAGGCTTGGACATGAGAAGGACTTGTAAGCGATGAATTCTAGGAGAACTCTGGAGTCCCTCTCGAAGAACACCTCCAGCTATTTCCTGTCACATCGGCTCAGCCGTCAGACGTGAACGAAAATCGTTGAGTCAAGTAAATTCAGTTGTATCGCATCTTCAGTGGTGGCAGATTCCGATACTGTTCTGGTTGGAGATGTATGTGTGGCACACCACGGATGCCTGAAATGACAAGGTCTCTTTACCTGCGCTTATTAAACACTTGTACAACAGAAAAGAAGCTCAAAACTATCATATCTCAGTGGATTTGGAAGCTTGTGATAATGTTCTGACTTAAAGGCAGAGCCCGCTCATTCGGTCACAGATACTGGGTTAGGGGTTTGCTCATAGACGACAAGGTGCTGAGTACTTCGATAGTGAAGAAAAAAGTAGAGAACTGCCAACT